CTACTCTGGAAATGATGATGCATACAATGGACTCCGGACTAGGTGTGTTCCTTTAAGTCTTCCTACCAATGTGACCGAGTTGCGAAAACAAGGTAAAACAACTTCCATAATTAATAATACTTGTCAAATTATAGATAATTGACTCCTCAACTAGATATGAGGACCAGTTATGATTGTAGCAGGATTACAATAACGCAGAGAAATTATCGTAATTTACACCAAGCATTATAAACTATAAGGATATAATGGATACACCTTCATCATCTATCCTCTATCTCAATGAAAAAAGCTTCTATCAGTGTATTAGGATATATGTCTGCTAATACTCGTGTTTCAAGGTGCCTACTTTACATGATACAAAGCAAGTAAAAGGTATGATTAATCGCCTTTATTGTAGATAAAAGTAGGACTCATGTACAAAATGAATTCAAAAGAATTTAGTGGGCCAAGAGATCGCTAATTTATATCACACTAAAAGCCTTCGATATCTAGCTACATAAGCGAAAGCTTTGTGTTAGTATAACTGATATTCGGACTCAGTCTGCCCTAATTACGATGAGAATGCTTTGTGATATCTGACTTCTTATCTATTATTTATTTATTCAGGCTCTCTCTCTTTCTGTGACCTGTTTCTTGTACTAATTAATTATGCATATAAATATAGGAGCTTATTATACCCTATATTTCACTTGATATACCCCACTGACAAATTATCGTTTCTCCAGTATATGTTTTCGTTTAACCATCTGGTCGTTTTCATTGCTTGGAGAAGGAAACCATGTGGTATTTCTTAAATTAATATTTGTCCTCTGAGCTCTTCCAGCATTTTACGTTATACCGTTTTCGTGATATGACCAGAAGTAATAAAATAGTCTTATGATGGCTTATAAATATTCAGAAACTAAGGTTGGCTGGATAATAAACGCTTTAGCTTACACATTAACATAGCTTAACCTTTAGTGAACTTTTAAGGGTATAAGTTTTTTTCCAAAATTACGGCTTAGATTGTAGGATTTAGAAAAAAATCAGATACCTAAAATAATTTTGAAGTAGCATATGGACAACATTATCTAGGCGAGTTTTAACCTACCAAACGCCCATCTGGCCATCTGTCGTAGGTTCGTAGACTGCAGACTGATACATAATCTTCAGGATGAGCCATATGACGAGCTAAGCGAGGTAGTAGGGCGTTCGGGCCCATGAAAAGGCTGATCCTGGCAAAGTGAAGAATGTAGTGGATTGCGACACCACTTGAACCACCCGGCTCTCCCTCAAAGGCTGGCAATAATGGCAAGAGGATGTAGACGCGAAAGGGGCGTGACTCACTAAGGCACCAAAATGGCGCCATGATAGGTATGACGAGGTGGACACCCATGAATTTGCAGTTGTGCGCATATTTAAAGATTAGAAAAAGGTAAAAATGTAGAGCGAGAATGAGAACAACTATGTGGTTCTAAATAGCTCTC